CCCCCCCCCCCAGTTTTGCCAGTTGTATACAGTCATGTAAGTATCCAACATAATCAAGACACAACAATATTTTCATCACCCCAAAAATATTCCCATGCCACTTCATACTCTATAGTTTCCCTCCTTCCCTGGGCCCTGGCAGCCACTGATAGGCTTCCTGTTACAGCTTTGCCCTTCTAGCTTTGCACTGGAAGGGGCTCATACTTTTATGTCTGGACTTTTTTTTTTAACTGCATAATATTTTTGAGGTTCATCTCTGCAGTTATGTGGATAATTTGTTTTTTAAAATATATTCAGTATATGATATTGTTTTAAAATTTCATTTTATAATTGTCCTTAATTTATAAAAATACAGGTGCTACTGTATCTAGTGACCTTGGTAAATTCATATATTATTTCTAATTCTAATGGTTTGTCTTTTTTGTGGAATTGTCTGAATATATAGTTCTACTTACAGATTTCAGCTATTATTGGGTTTTTATACTTAGACAATCAAGTCATCAGCAAATAATGGCAGCTTTGTTTCTTCCTTGTAGTAATTTCTTTTTGTGCCTTATGTACAGGACCTTTTAAACTGTGTTTAATGCAAGTGGCAATAATGAGCATCCTTGCCTAGATCCTGACTTTAGGGTGGAAGTTTTCAGTATTTTACCATTATATGTGATTGCTAGCTTTTGTTTGTTAGTTTTCAGGTTATTTATCAGATTTTAATGATTAGGCTTTTAATTTTGTCAAGTGCTTTTCTGCATTTACTGAGATAACCTTAGGATTTTTCTTTTCTGAAGTACTAAGTGAATGCGTCGCACTGTTGTTGCTTTTCTTTCCCCCTACTGGTTTTCTTTCCCCAGTTTTACATTCCTGCAATGAGGTGATTGGGGTATATTATGATCTGTTTTCAAAAGCTCGCATCGGTTTGCTTATATTAGTACAGGCTTTAAGGTTATTTTAACGAGACAGCACAGGTCTGCTGGCCCTCCAGCCTTTGGAAAACCAATGACATTTGTCTTTCCAGCACCAGCCCACCCTACTGTTGCGTGGACCTCTATTCGCTTCGCACCGGGGAGACGGCCAAGTCCATCCAGTTTAAAACTCCCATTTACGACCTGCACTGCAGCAAGCGGTAAGCCTTCCCCGTGTTCTCCGTAAGGTAACATACCTGCCGGGCGTGGAGAGCTCCCCCGGTGTCACTGCCTGCCTTCAGTTCATTTAAAAAGAGAAAGTTGCAAAAACACCTCTGAATTCTGCTAAATGGAGTAACTCTTAAGATTTCTTAACGAACGTTGTACAATTTCTAGTCTTGACCCATTAGTGAATTTTGAGTTAAGTTTAGCGAATCAGAACCAGCGTTTAGAAAATGAAATGGAAAAGAATAGAAAGTATCTGAGCAAACGTACAAAGGCGCTGAGGAATGATTTTATCTGTATCACCTGGCTTTCTAGTATATATAACCTATGTGCTTCTGTGTTTACTGGTTTATGAGATGAAATGTATTTTTCCTTTTAGCATTCATCAAGGCAAAGCATATATCTGAGTATGTTAAATATTTAACAGTAATTGTAACCTTTATTTGATTTTTAAAAATAACTTTGAAATTTGCCTGTTATATCGATGTCTTGCAAGGAGCAGCTCTAAAGTGCAGTTTATAAGATAACTTTATTTGGGATATATTATAGGAATGTCAGTTTTAAAAAAGTTATAACTAAATTATTTGCCTAATTATTTGTAAATCTTGGGCTCTGGGAGAAATATAGTTCATATAGAGTCTGATTAAATTTTAATCTATTGAGTCAATCAAATGACTCATTTATGCTGAATAATAGTTGTCTGAGTTTTCTTTCTGTCTTTTTTGCTCCTGTGTTGGGAAATTCAGCAATAATTCTAAGTGACAAGTTACATAAATCCATTTTATGTTCAGTCCCAGGACTTTGAGCCAGAAGTGGAAAAACACTTTTAGTAAATAGCAAGCAATTTATTGATCTCATACATTCGTAATGAAGATAGATTGATTTGATTTATAATGAGTGAAGATAAAGTTTTGTTCAGAGGGAAACATTTTTTTGAGATGTAGGTTACTCTCTGTCACTCTTTTTCCTCTAATGTCTCTCTTGATTATTAAGGATTTTATGGTTATATTTTTACATTTTATGAGGCAGATGTTTCTAGTGTAAACATATAAGAAATGCTTGATTTTTTTTTAAGTTGTAAGGATAGATACTTGTTTAAATCTAGATGATTTAACTTATTTATGATTCAGTTCATACATTGTCACGGTCACATTTTCTTTTATGTTTCTCTCTAATTTTAGGATCCTCGTCGTAGTCTTACAGGAGAAAATCGCTGCCTTTGATAGCTGTACTTTCACAAAAAAATTTTTTGTCACAAGTACGTACCAACTTGATGTATTTTCTATTATATGCGTTTGAGTTTATACTATTTACTTGATAGAATCAGCAAGCTAATTGTAATCATAACATCAGTATTTCATGGCATTCTATTTTTGGTAGATTCCTGTGTTTCTGTTGAGGTCTTATTTAGCACTATAATTTTATAGTATGTATTTTCAACCCACAACACTTTTTCCTCATATTTCTAAGCAAGCCTTGTACTGTATTGCCTCGGTAGCTCTCCTTGAGTAGCTGTGATTAATTTAGGTCCCTGTAGCTATGTTGTACTTTCAAAGCAGTTGTTTAATTAATTGTCATAACATGCTTGAGGTAACTGTATTATTGTATGTGAGGGATTTGAATCTGGGTGAAATGTGTATCTGTCTCTCTCCCTCCTCCTTTCCCCACCTCCTACGACTTCTACTGCTGCCTAGAAGTGCGGAAATAAGCATAGAATATGGACCTAAACACACACATGCACACACACTCACACACACGTAGAGAGGGAGAGGGAAAGGGAGAGGGATTTTTTTTAGGTAATGGACCAGTCTAAGATTTGTAGGGCAAGCCAGAAGGATGGAAACTCCAGCAGGGATTGATTAGAATTTTTTTTCTACTATAGTCTAGAAAAAGCAGTAGTCTTCACTCTCATTTTTTAATGTTTTAACTTCTACATTTCACCATTGAAGCTATAGCTATTTTTCCAGAGTCTGATATGTATGCGCTCAGACTCGGTTCTGTTGGAACAGATCTCAGTTTTGTTATGACCAGGCAATCCCAGTCATGGTCCTACATCTCCTGAAAAAGTGCGGCTCTACACAGTATTCATCAGTATTCATCACTGGGTAGCAGACAGTGTTCCTTTCTGTAAGAGTTCATGTTCTTGATATAATTAATACATTATAGTCTACCTGTAAGGGCATAGATTACATACTATTTTTATATTACATATAACATAATATAATAATTCACTATAATACATAGTTTATCATTTTGTAAACTATGAAGAAGAATATGACAGCCCATCTCCTTGAGCTTGTACTCATTTCTCTCAGAGATCTACACAGATAATAATGGAGATCATAGTTATTGAGATTTTTTTTTTTTTATCACAAAGCCTAATGTACACCATTCACAAATTTACATTAGTATCTCCAGGCCGTTGGCTGGCACAATGTAGGATTTTATTACATATTTCTTGAACAAATGAGTACATTAGCCCAGTTATCAGTCAGTTATTTTATGCTGATCAGAAATTTAGTGAAGCTTTAATAATTATTAAATGTAGATAATTAGATAGGATCTTCTATTGTTATATGATAAATTTAAAAATGTCGGGGAGCATATATTTGTTAACATCTTTATTCACAAATGTAGTATATACATGACATGGGAGCTTTGTCTATTCTATGACCTGTTTTAGTTTTTAATTTTTTTTATACAGGTCTTATGCACTAATATATTACATTCTATTTGTATTGCTCATCATTATAATTAAAACAATGAGAGAAATAGGCCTAAGGAACCATGTGTGAATGTAGCCATTTCTTTCAAATATGTGGGCTACAGAGGAGTGAATCAGAACAGAATATGAACATTTCAGCCAGATTCAGATGCCAGGTATTCCTGAGCATTTGTCTTTACATCTTATCAATAATCTGCTGTTCATTGTTAGTCAGAGATTTGTGTGTCTTGGCTTCTGCAAAATCAGACATCTCTGTTGTGACTCCATTTTAACTTTATTCTTAGAGTCTATATTTCCTGTGTGTATGTGTATTTTTTTTTAGATTCTACATATAAATGAAGTTATATGGTATTTGTCTTTCTCGTCTGACTTATTTCATTTAGCATAATATCCATATTGGCACAGATCATAAAATTTTATTCTTTTTAATGGCTAAGTACTATTCCATTGTGTGTGCATCATATAGTCTCTATCCATTTTTCTATCGATGGCCACCTAGGTTGCTTCCGTATCTTGGTGATGGTAAATAGTGCTGCAGTGAACATAAGGGTGTGTATAGCTTTTCAAGTTCGTGTTTTTGTTTTCTTTGAATAAATGCCCAGAAGTAGAATTGCTAGGTCTTCTGGTAGTTCTATTTTAAATTTTTTGAGGAACTACCATACTGTTTTTCATAGTAGCTAAGCCAATTTACAATCCTTTTAACAGTGTATGAGAGTTCTTCATATCCTAGGCAACTTGTACTTTGACTTTTTGATAATAGCTGTTCTGACAGGTGTGAGGCCATAGGTATCTCACTGTGGTTTTCATTTGCATTTCCCATGTAGCTAGTGAAGTTGAGCATCTTTTCATATGTCTTTTGGCATTTATATGTTTTTGGAAAAGTGTCTGTTCAGGTCCTGTGCCCATTTTTTAATTGGAGTGCTTGATTTGTTGTTGTTGAGTTGTATGAGTTGTTTACATATTTTGGATATTAGCCCCTTATTTGAGTGTTATTTGCAAATATCTTCTCTTATTTGGTTGGTTGTCTTTTTGTTTGGTTGGTGGTTTCCTTTGCTGTACAGAAGCTTTCTAGTTTGATGTAGTCCTGCTTATTTATTTTTGCTTTTACTTCCCTTGCCTTTGGGGATCAAATTTATAAAGTTCCTCTTTGAGACCAAGATCCATAAATTTAGTACCTATGTTTTTTTCTATGTATTTTATTGTTTCAGATCTGATATTTAGGTCTTTGATCTATTTTGAGTTAATTTTTGTATATGGTGACAGATACCAGTCTAGTTTCATTCATTTGCCTGTGGCTTTCCAATTTTCCCAGTGCCATTTTTTGAAAAGGCCTGCTTTTCTCCATTGTATGCTTTTGGCTAATTTGTTGAAAACTAGTTTCCCATATAAATGTAAGTTTGTTTCTGGAGTCTCAATTCTATTCCATTGGTCTATGAGGATATTGTTTTCATTGTGCAAGCATTTAATTTCTAAAATACTTTGAAAAGCTCTTGTGTAACACAATTGTGAGCACCTTAGTTATGTATGAATCGGGACTGTAAAATTAGTAGAGACAGCTGTGTCCATCAGAGAAAGCATCTTGGGAATTTGTGCCAGAGGGTAGAAGGATCAGGTAAAGAGAGCAGATAGGGAACTGGGAAGGGAACGAAGCCAGTGTGATGAGAAAGGAGACACCTTTGTCTTTGGCTGTACAGAAAAGGTGGCCTTGAGCAGCTGTCTGATGTGGAAATCTAAAACCCATGTACTAAGAAAACAAAAGACAAGGACTGATAGATGTCATTAGCAGTCATTTCCAGTGTGCGCAAATTGAAAAGTAGATAGGAGGTCTCCAGAGAGACCAGAGGATTATACAGTGAGTAAGTAACTCTTCCCATTGGCCCCGTTTTTAGTTGGGGGAGGAGCATTTATTCCTATAGTCCTGATGTTACTTCTTAGTATTAGTATGTGTTCTTCATTTATGTTAATGATGAATTAGCAATGTAAGGAATGAATTTAAAGGATCTTTAAACGGCACAATTATTTTTAATTTTGGAAAGAGGAGCTTTTGTTGTTGTTGTTGTTTAGAAGCAAGTTGGCAAATTTTTAAAGAAGAGTATAGGACGTTAATGTGAGAACTAAGTCCAGTTCAAGTTAAAAGTCGAGTCTCTCCCTCCTCTTTTGGTTCCCCTCGTACATGCAGTGGCCTAGGCCGCCTGGTGTTTCACAGCCTGGTGCCCGATACGGTGGACACGTGGCGAATTTGTGCAGTGAACCAGCTTAGGACTTTCTTATTCCCTGAACTTTATTCCCACCCATTTAGCCTTGAATGTCAGTACTGTTCAACTCGTGTCGTTTCTTTTTCTTTTTTTAACATATACGATTAACTTATTGTCACGATACTTATGAAGACTTTATGGCAATGTGTAAAATGCTTATGAGATAATGTTAAGACAAGCTGAACACATACTTCTACTCATACTGTCAGGGAAAGTCTGAGTATCGCATAAGGCCAAAGAACGGTGATGTGTGCTAGAAACTGAAACGGATTTGATCTGTTGAAGTGTTAGAATGATGGATACATTTTCATGTTTATTAATTTTTATTTCTGTTAATATTTTATGTATCCTATAACAAATATGTTTTAAATTAAAATTAAAATGACTTTAGTTCAGATTGTGTGTACGTCTGCAAGCAGCAGGTTGAAATGGCATGATCAGCTCAGCCATTAATGCTTCCTCTAACGAGTCAAGGCTTTTGCATTATGTACAGCAGACAGTATTTTTCCCATTGAAGAAAATAGAAAATATTTTATGATGTCCAAAATGTTTTGACATTTTTTAGCTCATTTTTAAAATCAGTGTTAGTTGGTAATGATTAGTTTACTAAATTGAGCAATTTAACTCTATTTGTTATTTGGAATAACAGTGATTATTTATTTCCAAATTTTTCTATAATGAGTATATAACTAGAAGAAAAGTCTTCAAAACAACACAAGCTGTAATATTGTATGATTCCAAGTATAGCCATATGCCACTTAGCATGGGGATATATTCTGAGAAATGCATCTATTCTGTTCCACTGATCCGTCTGTCTCTTCTTTTGTCATTGTCACACTGTCTTGATACTGTAGTCTTAAGACAGGTAGCAACATGGAGGAATCTTGAATGCACATTACTAAATGAAGTCCATCTGAGAAGGCTACATACTATATGATTCTACCTATATGACATTATAGGAAATACATCTCCAAAACTATGGCGATAGTTAAAAGATCAGTGGTTGCTGGGGGAATGGGAAGGGCAGAGATGATAAGCGGGCACAGAGGATTTTTAGGGTGGTGAAAATACTCTGTCATATTACAGTGATGGGTATATGTCATTATACATTTATCCAACCCATAAAATGTACAGTGCCAAAAGTTTGTCTTAGGGCTTGCTTTTGGCATTGACATTGGCAGAATAATAGATGAATCAGTGGAACAGAATACAGAGCACTGAAATAGATCTTTCACAGATGAGCACAAGGGAGCAAAGGTATCTTCAGCAGAAGGTGCT